CCAAATATTGGTTCAAACCAAATCATCGCGCTTGTTGGTTCCGACTATGATACTCCCGATCCAGGCCAGCCAACACATACCGAATTCATCCGTGGTCTGGTGTGGTATTGGCTTACCCCTATCCTCGCTTCTCGACCGGATTATGACGGATAACCTGGTCCTTCTCGGTATTTCGTACTCTGCACTAACCCATTCCGCGGCACTACACGGCGCAGACCCGATCCGTACCACAGAGGTGGGTACTCTACTTAGTAGGTCAGCAAGCAAATATATAGAACATTCGATAGTAACAGTGTTTTGTCAACACCGGCCCGAATTGACTCAGCACATATCTTTCATTGTCGACTCACTTGGCCCAAGCTTCAAACGGGAATTTACTGACCACTTCTTCCCATCAATCTTTCCTGAACCACTACAGCGACTATGAGAGCCATACCATATGTTCATACATTGTATCATACATACTTGCCATTTTTGAAATAAATAATATTATCCCTCCTATAGACTCGACTCTCTGTCGTGTTATACGTATAATCGAGGGAATTTGGAAGTGTAGATAAATAAGGGCAAAAGACTCAGTGGATGTCAACTAGATTTGAAAATAATAGGGTTTAGCCGTAAGGCGGGCGTGGGCGTGTAGCTGACTAGCTGTAAATAGATGAATACTAGCGATAGATAGCTGGGTATCCCAGGCTACCAGCCTGTGTGGGTTTGTAAAGTTATAATACTTGTTTTCGTTGTTTAAAAAAAAATTATAATGTATAAAAAATTTTTTTTTTCGCATGTATTGGTTCTATTTTTTATAAATATAACAAGTGTATAACATAAAAATTAAAATATATTTACTTTTGTTCGTTTGTCCCGTTTTGGTGAGGCAAAATCCGTCACAACTCACAACCAGGATGTGCCCTGAGTCCCTGACGGTCTGAGAGTGCTGAGTGACACTCTGGGAGTCTCTCTAGAGGCCTCTGTATAAATACCGCTGAAGTTTGGGGCACGGAGTCACTGACTTTAAGACTTACTCACCCGGGTCACCCTCTGCTCAGTGCTCACCGGCTCACCCTCCTTCTTTTGTTGTTTTTTAAATTTTTATATACACTGCTCTCTTGTAGGATTTAAAGCACAAATAGGAAACATATTTTTGTGTTCTGACCAGTGGCCCCACTCATGACTCAGGCGGGGAGTCTGGACTCTGGCACTCTTATGACTGACTCTTGCCCTAAATAGCCCCCAGGCCCAGGACTCCAGTAAATAGTTCAATCTCTACTCTAGTCTCAGCCTCTCCGGCTCTCCGCCCGGTTTGCTGTTACTGTTTTGTTTTGCAATAAAAATCTAAAAACACAACTTCCGGATTCTTTCCACCCCCCCCACCAGAGAGAGAGAAGCTCTTTACACAGTGGTGAGTGGTCACAGTCACAGGACACAGGCACAGGCGCCGCACAGCCACAGTTCAGATGAGAACTTCTCATTGCCCCAACTCAGTCTGACAAAATACAAATATGGTAGTAAAATATTACCAAATCCATAGAACCACAAACAAAATATATATTTACAAAGAAGTTCTTGACATTGATGGATACAAATATAGCCAGAAGTGAGAAGTCAATACGCATCTAGTTCCTTTTAGTCATAAGCGACAACAGAGAGAAGATGAAGTATAACAATCTGGGCAATAGCGGCATCCTAGTGTCCGGTATGTACGTGGGCTGTGTTTTGTTTTGCATATATCTACAATGCATCTGCTGACCCACGCTGTACTGAACAGCAAGTTCAGAATTTCGTTGGCTTCTCTTAGTAGGTGAGTAGAACAGGTTCACAATTATGTATGGGGTGGAATAGAGCACGGTTATAGCGAAACAAATATATTAATACAGATTAGCGTAATTTATATGTGTCCACTCTGAACGTTAAGAAAGCACACCTAGTTCGTTTCTATATCTTGCGATTTCTACTTGTTACTTATACTTGACACCTGTACATTCACCTAACCCGAAACAATCAACCACAAACTGTGTTCCAGAATTATCGTTCGGATCATGGGTGACCTTCGGAAACACAACCGACTCTACCTTGGCCTTTGATTTGATGAAGAAGGCGTATGAGGGAGGAATCAATATGTTTGACAATGCTGAGGGGTACACTGCAGGTAGTTCCGAGACAGTCATGGGAGATGCTGTCCAGCAGGGTATCGAGGAGGGTGTCTGGGAACGATCTGACTTGGTGCTTACCACTAAGATTTTCTTCGGTATCAAGGCCGGCCCCAATGCCCGCGGCTGCTCGAGAAAGCATATTGTTGAAGGCACCCAAGGTGTGTTCTTTGACATCTATTTGAGGGGTCAGTGTGAGTCAACTGTGCGATACATATCTAACGACAATGTCATGTTTTGGAAAAGATCTAACTTGTTACGAACACTATGATGCGCCTATCAATATTCGAATTCTATATCCAACTCGGTGGCCATGTAAATACATTGTTTTGACATTTGTCTTCTTTCTAGTAATATTACAGCTTGTGTTTTATGTGTATATAATCCATCCATGTATATATATATATGTCTAAATGTACCTAGAGTTTATGTGTGTATTTGATTAATATGTGTATATAGTATATATTTATGTATATTTTCATGGATGTATGACGTATGTATGTGTGTGTACATATATATATCCATATCCATATGTATATATATCCATATATGTATATGAACTCGTGTGCATGCATTTCTTCACATATAGAAGTGCATAGAGATATTTATTCTATATACTGTATATAAATATACGTATATGATAATGTCCGCATACAGACATTTCTACATATATATATATATACGTATTTATAGTCATACCTCATTTTTAGTCCATAGTTCGTTTCTGGCCAGAGATTATACAGATTTCGAGTTAGAAATTTATGTATATTTTCATGGATGTATGATGTATGTATGTGTGTGTTCAAATATATATGCATATGTATAAGTATATATATCCATTTATGTATATGAGAATACTCGCGTACATATATATTTTATATAGATGTGCATATAGATATTTTATTTGTATATATATACTGTATATAAATATACGTAAACGTATATGATAATACTGGCATACATACATATATAATCATACCTCATTTTTAATACATAGTTCGTTCCTGGCCAAAGAATATACAGATTTCAAGGTGGACATTAAGTATATTTTCATGGATGTATGATGTATGTATGTGTGTGTACATATATATATGCATATATGTATATGAGAATACTCGCATACATACATTTCTTTATATACCGATGTGCATATAAATATTTATTTGTATTATACTGTAGATAGAGGTGGACAAATATGTATGATGTATGTATGTGTGTATACATATATGTGCATATGTATATGTATATATATATGCGTGTATGTATATGAGAGTACTCGCGCACATAAATTTCTTTATATAAAGATGTGAATAACGATATTTTATTTGTATATATATACGTATATGATAAAACTGGCATACATACATATATTTATATAAATGTGAATATATATATAATATTGGCATGTATATTTATTTATATATATATATACATAGGCATACCTTAGTTTTAGTGCATAGTTCGTTTCTGGCCAAAGATTATACAGATTTTGATGTTGACAATCGCGGAGTAGTAAAAGAAGTTTCTCCATTAACACGTACATACAAGTTTATGGGTGTATCCGTTGTATAACTGTTTAATATATATATAATTGTATAATATATACATATATATATATGTATATTGGTGTGTGTACAAGAATGTTATGTTCATATATATATATACGGATATATATTTATGTACAGGCGATCTGCTTGTTGTTGTTATCCTCCGGGCTATGTCTTGTTACAAAGTACAGAATTCGAAAGAAGCACCTGACTAAGCATTATCACAACCATAACGACTCGACCTCGGACTATTTACCTAGGCTTCGCTTATGTACTGTGGCATTATCTGTGCAGCATACCTGACTCACCCAATGTTACCATGGTCCTCAGCTGCACTCAAGCGAATGAAGCTGGACTATTTTGATCTGGTCTTCTGCCACAGACCCGACCCACGCACGCCCATTGAGGAGACTGTACGTGCCATGAACCACATCATTGATAAGGGCTGGGCGTTCTACTGGGGCACCAGTGAGTGGGACGCAACTCAGATCACGAAGGCTTGCGAAGTTGCCGATCGTCTGGGCTTGATAAGGCCGGTGGGTAGAGTTTGTTGAAGTGCATGAGTGGTGAATTTTTTTATAATCTGATGGGTTGATTGGCGGGATATCAATAGAGGAATCAGAATTGAGCGTTATGCATGTGTTTAAACCTCTAAACCCCAAGCCCTAAAAAGTAGAGGAATCAGAATTGAGCGTTATGCATGTGTCACAATTTGAAGGATTTGCTTCTGCAGTTGTGGTTGTGTCAGCTTCGAGACGAAAGCTAATGCCACAATTTGCAATGCATGTCTATTTCTTCATGTCGAATAGAGGCTGTGGCAAACCGAGTTCAACCCTTACGTATATTCGTTCAACTCGCATAGGAGTGATTCGGTGTTGTGAATCTGATGTTATACTCAATTAAATTCCTATCATCCTCTCCACTAATAATCTATACGCACTTTGTTTTGTTTTTTCTATAAAACTGTGGCGTTGCTTTTTCTTTGTCACTTGGGGAAACTCGTGCGCTCAACGAGCTCATCTCTTTTATTTTCTGTAGGTTATGGATCAGGTACAATACAACATGTTCCACCGAGACAAAGTGGAGCGCGATTACCAACCCCTGTATAATGACTACGGATACGGTCTTACCATTTGGTCGCCTCTTGCGTCGGGCATTCTGACAGGGAAATACAGCGGCAACAATGTTCCAGGTGGGTTGCATGTGCATTGTAGATGAGACAGAGCAACAGACTGTCTCATCTCGCACATCCTGCATACGTGCCTACCTTCTTTTCAATGTTTTCAAGCAATCATGTACATGGAAGATACAGGCTTATGCGCTTAGAGTAGAGCGGTTTTGCCCAACCAAAGCTTGCAACTTGAATGCATGTATATTAGTCGTATAAATTGAATATACTAGTGTTAAGCTGTATCGACTGATGCGTTTAGAGTAAAGTTGTTTTGCCCAACCAAAGCTTGCAACTTGAATGCATGTATATTAGTCGTATAAATAGATTATACTAGTGTTAAGCTGTATCGATGTCGGTTGACACAAGCGCATGCGATCGTTGCTGCTCTTGGCTGACTCAGTGAAATATAAACTTCGACGTCTCGTCAAACTGCGAACATATGAGCGAGAAGGCACATAGGCAAATCTTTGCTCTCTTTGTGATAATCACGCCCTGTAAGTAATTGCACTATAAAACTCACATTCACGCACCAATTTCACTTCTGCAGAGGGATCACGTCTTGCCCAAGAAGAATACAAATGGTTGAAGGACTCAAAGTTTGTCAAACAGGCCGACCAGATTACGCGAACAGACAACTGTATGTATGGAATATTGTCACGGACACAGGTGTTGTAACGATGTGAGACGCGTTTTGATCAGATATGTTGTATGTCGCGGTACAAGCTTCAGCACACCCCACCTGCTAGTTGTAGCTGGCATATGCTTCAAGCGTGTAGGTACGACTGAAAATCTAGCGTGAAAACATCTAAATTTGTCGTTTTTCCGCCCTGGCAGTGAAACCAATTGCCGAGGAAATCGGCTGTTCGCTAGCGCAGCTCGCAATTGCTTGGTGTGTCGCCAATCCTAAGGTGTCTACCACGGTAAGCTTAGTTGTACGCGCGTGAATTCTAAACGAGAGCTTTTCGGGCTGATATTCAGTTTATTGATTTCTAGTACTGGAATTTGTTTTAATATGCACAGGTACTGCTACATAATCCTCTAACATGTTCAATTTTCTCGTGATCATAAACTGTGATACTGAAGATTCTGGGAGCGACGAGTGTCAAGCAATTGGACCAGAATCTTGCAGCTCTGGACTACGTTGAGAAGCTCACGCCCGATGTCATGACTCGCATCGAGGAGATAATCAAGTCAAAGGTTCGTGTGCGATTTAATTTTATAATGGCTATTTCAATTGCGAATTTGTGTTTGGTAGTGATGCAAACCAGATATTACAGTTTATGCTTTCGCTGTACCTCTGCCTCATACCTGTCATTACCCACGCTTGTATCTATCACACTTCTCTGCAAATTTTAGCCGGCGGTGGATGAAATCTATGTGCAGACTACGGGCTTGCGATCAGGACCTAATTATTAGTTCAGCGGAACACATGAAAATATTCCAATGTACGTTGCAAGAACACCATTTTTTTTCAGTGAGCTAAAGGAATATTTTCCAAGCCTTAAACAAGTCTATATATGTCCTATAGGACTCAGTCTACCAAAAAGGTTGGTAAGCTTAGATAATTCTAGTGGGTAGAAGAGGCATGTCGCGCATCTGCTTTCTTTATCCATAAGGGGTGGTCGAACTGGGGGCAACCTCCCTTCCCTCAAGTCCTTTTTTGGAACATAGAAATGATGTCTAGATGTCCTGTAGTGGACAACCCCGCCGATTATAATTTCATTGGCTTCCGGCTATAGCCGATACAAGTGTATATGAGCAAGAATTTTACCTTGCTAGAATAATTTATGGAATTCGTCTTGTGGTTGAATGGGTGCAAACTTCTTGGTACCCTTTCAAATTAAAAACATCATTCCCCAATAGTATTAGAAATTAAAAATTAACTTTCCATCGAGTTTTTGTCTTCTAAGAGAAAGAAGACCTTTTCATCTTGGTAGCTCTTTTAGCAATAGTATATGAAAGCAACCTTTTACCTGCCCCCTTGTTCTCAGTTTACATTCTTCCTATGTCACAATAAGCTAATAGTAAGCCCGACTCGTAAAATAATCGATCTAGTATCCATATCACAATTCTCATCCGAGGTAACATGGGTAGAGAAGAGATCTCAGGAGATGAAAGGGGGGGGGGTCGAGGAGTGACCGACTAAATTTTAAAGATATTAAGAGTTGCATTAGTCCAATCCCAATATTGCATTCACATACATAGAAAACCACAATGAATTCGAATGTCACTATGCTTTTGCAGACATTCACAATACAGGGATCAGCGCTCTGTATCGTGGGAAGTTTATATCGACTGCACCAATCCCCCTTGAACCCGTTTGACAAACTAGAATTGGGCCTACTATGTTTTCGTTTCTAATGCTGTTAGAATTTGTCATACCCGCAGTAGTTGGGTAATCCCTTAATATAAACAATGCATGGCTCAGCGCTCGTTCTGCGCCGCCCTGACAATTGGGGGGGTTTTTAGGAGTTTCGTATCGACTACACCAAACCCCCTCCCCAACAATTTCTTTGAACCTGTTTAAAAAAATTAAATTCGGCTTGCTATGTTTTTCCTATGATTATAGCGTTGAGACTGATAGAAGGCTACTTCTAACGTAATAGATTATTCAAGGATATACTGGAGTCATACACCGTATTCAATCAATATATTGTCTCTGCCAACTACGGCAGTGAGATAAAGTAGAAACTAGGGAAATATACGGAACTTATTATCGTAATTATCCATCATAACTAGCAAGAAATTCTTCTTCTTGGGAATCCATTCTTGATAGGCTTTTGAATTTAGCTATTCAGTAAGGTATTTAAGGAGACATCTGGTAAACAATCGTTTAGATTCCTGTATCCTTTCGTACAATGGGAATCTTCAATTCAAATTTCTAGGTGGAAATAAAAAATACAAACATACCTGTCTCACGGCGGTTTTCACTATTCTCAAGTTCTACTTTTATGGACGAACAATCCAACCTTTTCAAAATCCTTAGATGCGGATAGACAGCATCACTAAGGGTGTCAAGAGGGAGCGGTACGATCTGTTTTAACTTCACAGATATTTAATCTTCCTTTAAGCGCCCATTCTTTCCAAACATTTCAATCGAGAAGATGTAGATAAGACTACATCGTTAAGGGTGTCAAGAGTGAATCAAACGGAATATCTATTTCGACATCACAGATAATACCCTTCTGGAATTGACTAACAGTCCAACTTTTGCCAAGACATTACAATCGAAAAGATGTAGATATGCCACATCGCTAAGGTTGTCAAAAGGGAATTGAACACGACAATATGTTTTGACTTCATATATATTTACCCTTGGTGTGGGAATGGCCAACATGTGATTATAAGCTGACTATGTGTATTTCTCGGTTGATGGGGACTCATACCTTGTCAGTCGCTATTGGGTAGATTCCTAGTTTGGTTAACAATCGTATATTAAAATTTTATATGGGTCTTATAAACCTCTGCTCTAGATACAAATTTTTAAACCGTGAGAGGCGGTATGCGGGCAAAGTCGGTCAATTTTGGTTCGAGAGGAATCGTTCTAGAATTTAAAGTGGACTGCTTGGCCTGATTCGGAGCCTTTTCGGGACATAGACTGAATCGATGTGGAGATGGTATCACCTTACAATAGGGACATGGACGTTCCTCACGCACCCCTTTCTTATCTTGGGCTTATTCTACTGGTTTGGTTTGACTAGGTGCACCGTTGTCCGGTTTGTGCCGTTTATTAGTAGTAGTAGTGCTACTCTCAGCTTGGTTGATTGTCTGTGTGTTTTGACGCTTGTTCTGCATTCGCAACTGTTCCCTTAGCATTCGATATTCCTTGCATCTTGGACGCCGCTCTTATGTTTGCCTCAGTCATAGTATAAAGCTTAGTGTGTTCTATATCTGACTAGCGCCCTTTACTTCCATCAGGTTGCTTGTCTGCTTTGATTAGAGCATCCGCCTGTGATTGTTGTCCGTAGTACATAAGTGCTTGTGCCTTTGTACTTTGAAGAGTTGAAAGTGTATGGGCTCCTTGTCTAAGTTGCGGTAACGCTCCTCTAACATCGCCATTGTCTTATGCGCACACTCTGTGCGCACTTCCACGTTCAGCTTCTTGTTCTACATGTCATTGAGAAACTTCTCCAACAGATAGTCTACTGGGTGGGGCCTGAGTCAGTCAATAATGATCCTATTGAATTGCTCAGGTTCCTTGAAGTGCTTAGTTGTATGCGTCTCAGAATATTTTTAAGTTATTGTGTACTGACTTGGTCTTCTCCGTTGCATCAAAGGAATCTAATATGTTTCTCACTAGTGCTGGGTACTGACACAGCGGCATGGACTTTGCTAGGAATAGATCTCTACATTGCGTAGTGAACTCTATGATGTCTTCATAATTTTCCATTCTAAAGTGACTATCTTTAGTTAGCTTAGGAAATTCTGAAGTCTTTAGTAGTTTTGCAAGAGGTGGTTCTTTTAACTGGTCCCCTAAGCGTGAACGCATGAGCTCTAACTCACTAATGTATTGACTTATTTGAATGAGGTCATCTTCCTCATCGACACCACAATTGTCGAGAGCTAAATCATATCGTCGTCTGAGCTCCGAATCCACGAGTGGCATGCGTCGTTCTGACTGTTGATCATGAATGCCTACCCTCATCTTGTGTAGAGTCGGTATAGGCACCGGTACTGTTTGTTAAAACCTTGGCAGACACTCTTGTCTATTTCTAGACGCATCGCTGAGGCTAGTATGGATACCCCAGCCGGTGTAGGCTGGCCGGAGCCACTGCCTGGGCTTGGCCCCCTCAATGTCACCACCATACACGCTCGCCCTGGTTGCCGTTGGCATCTTGAGATGTCTGTGATGGCGTGTGGGTATTGCGGGTTATCAATAAAAACTCTTGCTATATTCTGTGCGAATGCGCGCGCTTCACCCCCCTTGTCTTTAATAATGATTCGTATAAAATAAAATAAATTCGAAGTTATTTATACTTACTATTGTAGTGTTGTTGTTTCGCTGCACTTCCGCGGGAAGTGTTTACCGTACTGTATGGTACGGTAGCTTGTTGCTTTGTTCCCTGTGTTTATAAGGGGTGAAAACGGTGTTTGTTAGTCAAGCTTATTTCGTCACGTCTGGACTTACTTGTGCTTATTCTTCAATGAGATGTTCGGTCCCAATGACGTCACCGGTGAAGTTCGGTGCTGTTGCAGGCCCTTGTTATGTATCGAACATCCATGCCTTAGTAGGCTGTACCTTTGTTTGTAGTGTACCGAACTTTTGTGATTTATTCTGTTCGAATATTCTTGTATTGTTAGTCCACTGTAGATTATTCTGTTGAATATTTATGTGTACCAAACTATTGTATTATTAGTCTGTTGTATACTTGTACCAGTGTATGTTTTAGTGTGTTGTATACCTGTCTCTATACTAGGTGTTCGAATATTCTTGTATTGTTAGTCCACTGTAGATTATTCTGTTGCATATTTATGTGTACCAAACTATTGTTTTATTAGTCTGTTGTATACTTGTACTAGTGTATGTTTTAGTGTGTTGTATACCTGTCTCTATACTAGGTGATGGTAGTGTCACCCTCGATGTAGTGGGTGCTTGACTAATTGTCCTTCTGATCCCTTGAGCTCTTAGTTAGTTTTTCGTTCACAGTAATTATGTGATACACTTTGTGTTCAATTGATCTGGTTGCACACTATTCGTCATCGTTTGATGTTCTGTGTGTTCTTGGTCTATCGGATACCCAGTTATGATTTGTGGGCACCAAGATGTTGTGTGTATTCACGTGTAATTATTAATTACTGTTGTATGCATTTCACCTTTTGCTGATGTTTGGTTGCGTTCTCTTGATCTGATTTGATCTGAATGAAGCTTTACATGTATGTCTCCCTTTTTTGGTACTATGTGCTCCAAGTACACCTTATTGTTATTAATGTATTGGTATCTCTCTAAATCTCTGAACGTTTTCAATCGACTATAATGGTGTTTTGTATTTGATTGTTCTTAGAGTTTTTGTTCATTGATCAGATTGATGTTACCATAAGTAATGGAAATATTTTTGTTTCCTGTATCACTTATCTTGTATCTTTGATAACACTAGTCTCTATTGTTCTAACTCTAGCCTTAGTTGTGGCTAAATACTTGTTGTTCATGTCCTATCCTGTATGTTTTTGTAGGCATGTGTCTGTGTATATGTGATTTAGGATTGTTCCATGTGTGACTTGCATTTCTCACTTTTGTGATTTGGTTTTCTGAGAATTGTAGTCCTAATTACACTTTCCTCTGCTTGCGGTATTATTCACTCTTTCGTGTATTAACCCTGCTCTAGCTGTGTGCTAGATATACTGCCTTTTATTTGTGTATGGATGTCTTGATGCTCGTAGTAGATCCTACTTGGGTGTTTGTTGCGCCCTGTTCTGTTGTCTACGGTCTTTTGTTTTCAGGGTTTATTAGTGTTTGTGACTAGTGACACTTCTATTTTTTGTGACTGTTCGTCGTGGTTGTATTTGTAGTTCGTTGATTTCTTGTAAGGATACATGATCTTTGTCTCCATTTGACTTGAAATGTTATCACTTTGGTTAGTGACCCTGCTGTGCTTACGTGCTACAAATAGTAAGCGTGCACACATTGATATTTTTATCATTTATCGCTAATGTGGGTGACTGAAATTGTTTAGCAACTCGTCTGATGTGTTTGCACTATAGATGGACCTTGTGATCTTCTGCGCATGAGATGATCCATTCACACTGGTGCGCATAACCATAAATTTTGTCTGTGCCTATTCTCTCTCACGCGGAGTTTCGGTATAGCTTACCGGTTCTACCGCTAATATTTCTGATGACTCCAATATCAGAAATATTTCAATCCTAATTCCAAAACTCAATATTCGATGATCCTGA